ATAGCCATGACCTCACTGCCATATTTAGAACATTTTACCCAACAAGAGCAGAAGGCTCATTCTCTTCAAGTACACATGGCACATCCCTGCACATCTCAATACATTTGAAAGGATTTGAGTCATTCAACATATGTTCTCTAGCCATAATAAAACTAAATTAGGCACAAGTAATAGAAAGTTATCCCAGCAAATCCTCAAATATTTAGAAACTAAATAAGACTTCTCAAAAACCCATGGTTTGGAGAAAAAACAAAAAGGTTACTAGAAAATAGAAATCAGAAAATATTTTGAATGATACAAAATGAAAGCACAATCTTGTCAAAAATTTGTGGCATGCAGTGAAAACATCACTCGGAAGAGAAATCTATAGCACCAAAGTCCCCAGCTCCTACCCTAAGGAGCTAAAGAAAGAAAAGGAGAAAAGAACAAATCTAACCAAAGTGAACAGAAGAAAGGAATTAAGATTAGAGTGGAAAGCAGTAAAATAGAAAACAGGAAAGTCCTAGAGAGAATCAATGGACCTAAAGTAAAAGTCATTTAGGCACATTAAGGCAGTGTGTAAATAAGTGTCAAGCCCTGATCAGAGGAAAGAAAAAATGAAGACACAAATAACTAATATAAGAAATGAGAGATCTGACCTCACTATTGATTGTACACCTTCTAAAAGGAATGTCATAACTGTACGCCAAGAGGTTTAACAATTTAGATGCAAAGGTCAAATTTCTTGAAAGACACACACTTACAAACCTCACTCCAGAAGAAATAGATAACTCAAACTCTCCATGCCCTTTTAAGGAAAGTTTAAACTGTCCCACAAAGAAAGCTCTAGGCCCAGATGTTCTCACAAGTGAATTCTACCGAATGAATGCCCAAGGAGCAAATAATAATAATTCTATACAAATTTTCCCAGAAGATTGAAGAGGAGGGAAGAGTTCCAACTTATTCTGGGAGGCCAGCATTACTATGGTATCAAGAAGAGAAAGCTACAGATGAATATTCCTCGTGAAATAGATGCGAAAATTCTAAACCAAATTTTAACAAGCCAGTCCAGAAATATTTAAAAATGGATAACGTATATGGCTAAGTATAGTTTATTTTGGAAGTCCAAAACTGGTTTAACATATAAAGCCAAAAAATTTTGTGCGCAATATTAGCAGAAAGAAAAGTCACCTATGATAATAGATTCAGAAAAAGCGTGTGCCCGATTTCAACATCAACTGCTGATATTTTTTTTCAGTCTTACAAACTAGGGATAGAAGAAAACTTCCTCAACATGATAAAGGGAAATTTTTAAAAGCTTGTAATTTATGTGATTATCAGTGAAAGACTGAATGCTCCCTCCTAAGACAGGAGAGGCAAGGATGTCCGCTGTCACCACTTCTATTCTGATGCCAGAGATGCTTGCTACTTCAGTGAGAGTTTAAGAAGAGGAGGAGAAGGGAAGCAGGAAAATAGGAAGGGAAGAAGGAAAAGAGAAAGGAAAAAGGAAGAAGCTAAAGAGGAAGGAAAAAACTCACTACTCAGTTTCCAAATACTTGGAAATTTCCAGATGTGTTTGAGGTTGGAAAGCAGTAGTTAAATCTATCTTTATTAACAATCAAGTTGACCATCTATAGAGAAAAGTCACAGAATCTATCCAAATGCCATTGGAACTTAACAAGTTGAACAAGGTTGCAAGATGGAAGACCCACATGTGACAGTCATTTTTATGTGATAGCAAAATAGCACAATTGAAATAAAACCATACGCAATAGAATTAAAAACGCGAAATCCATCGATAACTAGACAAGTCAGACAGAAAGATATATAAGATCAAACTTTGCTGAGGGAAGGTTGAAAGATGCCAGTTCTCCCAAACTAGGCCATAGATTCAGAACACTCCTGATCAGAACACCTGCCGCTGTAACCTAGTCATTTGACGCTCTCGTGGGCCCAGGAGAAACGGAAGCCCAAGTCCTGAAGAGAGTTGCACACAATGATCGGAGTACAGATGAGCCTTGAGACAATTATATGCAGCAAAAAAAGCCCCGCAAAGGAAAAGCACATACTGTGTGCTCCTATTTGAATAAAAGTCTAGAAAATGTAAATATTCCAGAGTGACAGAAATCAGGTCAGTGTTTGCCTGGAAACCAGGGAGGTCTGTGGGGGGGCAGGAAAGCTTGGAGAGTTATGAGCATGTTTATGATCTGGATGGTGGTAATAGTTTCACATATGCATGCATACACTAAAATATCCAATCGTATGAATTAAATGTGGACAGGTTACTGTATGTTATTTGCACCTCCACAAAGCCATTTAAAAATTGAAAGGACAAAATCTGTCAAGTGTGGTGGGGATAGCAGTAAGGCAGGCTGTGACATCTGGCTAAAACCCAGATCCAGCCCAAGATCCTGGCACTCGGGGGCTGTGGTGCTGGGACAGGTACCCGCTGGTCCCTGGAACTAAGCCCCGGCCTCCCTGTCTCGGTGGCTGGGTGTGGGACTTCTGGCTCCTGCTCTCATCGGCAAGCTGCAGGGCCAAGCAGAGATGGAGGGAGGAGAGAGGCCCACACAGCGCGATCCCAACCTCTGCAGAGCCGGGACACCCACGCCTGTCCGCTGAGCAGCCTGCCCCTTGGGTTCTGGCTGGTTGCATTGGGCTCTGGCTGTCAAGGCTTCAAACACCCTGGCTCTCAGAGAGAACCCACAGGCCATGTGGCCACAGGATGGGGTGGTACCCACCCCAAAGTCCTGTCCCAGGTGGCTTTGCTAAAGCAGCACACACTGTCCACAGGCACAGAGTAGAGGGAGTGGCCCATGTAGAGTTCGGTGACCCAGATTCTAGCCCCACCTCAACCACTTAGAGCTACGTGACGCTGGGCACACCACTCTCCCCATGCCTCAATTTCCTCCTCTGTAGGGGTTGGGGGTCTCCAGGGTCTTACGGCAGGTTTACAGCCTTTCTGTGGCCTCCCCAGGTGGACCAGGGCAGAGGCTGCTCCTGGGATTGGGCATAGCTTCCCTCCAGTTCCCAGACTCCCAGACTCGGGCCAGTGTGTGCCGCCAGCCTGTGGTCACCAGAGGCCACGCCTGTGGGCACTTGGCCTGGCCACTTCTCAGCACATGCTTTCCTGGAAGCCGGCATGGGAGGCAGCCTGGAACCCACTGTCCCAGAGGCAGGCACAGAACATACCTGAGGTGCCACCAGGCCCAGGAGACAGGACCCTCAGAAGGTAGAAGTGGGTGACTAGCTGTCCTGGTTTGTCCCACTACAGGGGACTTTCAGTGGTAACACCAACTGGAAAAGTCCCAGAGACACCAGAATGGCTGGCCCTACCAAAGCCACCACACTCCACACTACCTGCTTCCCCACCTCTCCCTCACCTTCCCAATTTCTTTCAAATGAATAAAACTCAGAGTTGTCATGGATGTGGAGCTTGTCATCATCCTGCTGTCCTGTGGGCCTCAGACACCTCAGAGAGCTGAGCAGAATGCAGCGGGCACCTTATACTCACCCCTTACCCTGGACTCAACGCTCTGCCCTCTGCAGTGCTCATGGGGCAGAAAGGATCCACTACGTGGGGACCCGAACAGAAAGGTCTGCATCAGTGACGTTTACAGTCATAAAAGGTTGGCAACAATCTACATCAGCATCACTAGGCACAGAACAGATAGGTTTCCCTATAAAGGGGCTACCTGGGGCCAAAAGAGGGCAGCAGACCTTCATTTCTGGCCCCTGACATTAGGGCTGCATGCTGGGTCAGTCTCAATCTGTTCCCTGGAAAGAGGGGCAAAGGAACTAGATTTGGGTCTGGCCAGACAAGAGCCTTTTGTCCCCAAACTTGGAAGTCAGCTCTGTCATAAATTTTGTTTGCTTGGGAAGGTTCTAGGACTCTAGGAGGCTGAGGAGGTTAGAGGTGTGGGCAAGGACTCTGGCTTGCAAAGCACAGAAGCCAGACTCACTCCCTGAAGTTATGATGTGGCCCTTGTAACTTGGAAGTTCAGGAGTGGAGTGTGCTGTCTTCAGGCACAGTTGGATCCAGGTGCTTAAAGCCCTTAGGGGTTTCTTGGCCACATCACTTCCCCTTCCCCTTCCTCTTTCTCCGTATCTTCTTTCAGTTCTTCTTGTCTCTCCTCTCCTAGCTAGTTGCCCTTAGGCCCTTCATTGCAGAAGGTATCTGTCTAGGTTAAAAGAAATGACAGCTGGCAACCTCAGGCTGCTGGGAGACTCTTGAGCCAAGTGACAGCACCCTCTGCTGGCCCAGTAGAAAAGTCTCAGGGAGAACTCAGCTTGCCCTGGCCCATGTCACATGCCCATCCTTGTGATGGGGAAGAAGGCCCTTGGGTTGCCAGTTCCTCCCAACCACACTGAGAGGAAGGGAAATGGCACAAGGTTCCTCAGAGGAGAAGCTGCAGCCACTCTTCAGAAAGTCACAGATGCCACAGTCCACAAATGTAGCCACTGCCAGCCAGCCTCAAAGACCTGCAGCTTCTAAGACTGATCACAGCTTTCCTGAACCTGATCGCTTGTATCCATAGAATGACCAGAAAGAGATGGCATCCTTCCTCAACGATGAGGAGCTGAGTCCCAACCGACTAAGGTGTCCAGGTCACCAGACAGTAAAGGCAGAAGAGGGACCTGCCGTTGGATCCTCTGTCTCAAGCCTTTGCTTGCTGCTCTGGGCTCAGGCTCCATAGGTGAGGTGTCACCACCATCTCTGTGGCTGTCACCACTATCAACATCCGTCACCACCACACTTCCCACCCTCAACACCCTTCATCATTACCTCCTCCACCACCACCACTGATCTTCAACCACTACCACCTCCTCCATCGACATTCCACCATTCACCACCACAGCCAGCAACCACCATCAACGTCCTGTCACTACCATTACTGTCAATGTCCTACCACCACCCCAACACTGACACATCTCCGCCACCACCGTTACCATTGAACACAAGCCCCAGACTCACCATAACCACCCCACCGTCACCATAGCAACAACTAAAACATCGTTACCTTCATCTGCCGGGCAGCTCATCATGGAGCAGCAATTCTTAGGTAAGACAGAGCCAAGGAGCTGAGAAGGAAGAGCGGGCTGAATCACTTTCTGAGTAGGACTCTTCTTGGAGGGCAGGACTGGATTCAGCTCCTTTGTGGCCAGGACCCAGCATCCTGCTCACAGCATTGAAATGTCATTCAGAGATGGTCGAGCTGAACTCAAAGGCCTGCGGTTGTGTTTTTGGGACAAACACATGTGAGTCACCGGGGCTAACATTCTTTGGGATCTGATGATTTTTCTACTCTGGGGACCTGCTCTCTTGGCCTCAGCCAACAGGCAGTGCAACTGGGGACACACACTCTGGTCACCATTTGTGGGGCCACCATGGAGCTGGGTCCTGGGCTTTGTGCTGCTCTCCTGTTGGATCTTTTATGGAACATGGCATGAAACTGAGGATGAGGTGGTCCATCCAGGGTGCACACTGTGAAGCTGCAGCCACCACTGGCCCATGCTCCCAATGCACTGTCACCAGGATGGCCCTTGGCCCTGGCATCCCTCATGAACCTGAGATTGTGGCACTGAGACCGCTACCTATAGCTCTTGCCCACCTTTGTGAGAGAGTGGCAGGGCAGCCTGGGATGTCCCTTCAAAGTCACCTGCCTGGGAGTAGTGGCACAGGGTGGCATGAGGCTTCTCCAGGTACAGAGTGCCTTCTTGGGAGGGGTTGTGTCAGAGCTCCACCAAGAAAGGGAGGACTCAAGCTGGACCAGTACAGGGTATAGGGAAACCTGAGGTGGGTAGTACACCATGCCCAGGGCTGTTGCCAGGTTTGGCTGTAGGGGTTGGGCAGGAGCCATGCCAGGCCCTGGAAAGGAGGGTGTCTTGGAGAGAGGGCTGCCTAAGGAAGCTGGGTCCTTCCACCCAGGGGCATAGCCTGCACAGAGTGACCCCAAAAGGAAGATATTAGGATGCGACATTTTGACCTAAATCTCTCCCTCTCCCCGCAGCCAGGGCTGGCCCCACAGGAAGCAGAGGGTGCAGGGGCCCAAGGAATGAGATGCAGTGGGCTCAGCCCACAGGCCAGAGAGCAGTCAAAGTGCACCCAAAGCAGAAAGGCCAAAGCATCTCCTGTGACATGGGCCCCTTGCAAGTCTGCACAGCCCACAGCTGAGTGCTATCTGGGCTGCTACCTCCTGCCTTCTGGCTCCTGGCCCACCCTGGGTCTTCTTTCCTGACAATGGACCTCATTTCCTTACTTTTCTTTCTCTCGATTGCTTTCCGTCTCTCCCAAACCCCCACCCCGACCTGTTACTGCTTATCCTGACCCAATTTGTTTTGGTGTTGGAATGAGAGGCCAGGCCAGAGTCACTAGATAGACTCTGCCAAGCACTGCTGGAGAAGTCAGCCCCTGTACTCTCTGGTTGCTAGAAAGGAAGGCACCCCCTTCCTGGCATCAGCCTGCAGGATATAGGGAATGTCCTCCCTGAGTCTGCACTCGGCTCAGGAATATGGACTCTCCTGGGGTTGGTAGTGAGAGGGAGAAAGGTCCTTGGCTTGGGGACTCGGCAGTGTGCTTGAGGCCAGAGACCAGTGCCACAGGAGGTAGAGCTGTCTCCTGGAGTTCCCACAGAAAATGAGGTGACATCAGAGGAGTGACAAGTGGTGAGGTATGAAGATGGGCAGCAGGAGATGCAGAGCATCAGAGCCATCCTAGGCTTCCTGGCGGCCTGGGGTCCTCAGGAGGCCATAGGTGGCTCTGAGGGCATTGTCTGGGAACCCTTGTGCACACAGCTGCAGGAGCACACAAGCCCTCATCCTAGGTGTATCCACTGGTCCTGCCAAGAGTTCTCAGCGTCACTTCCTCTCTGAGAGAATAGCAGAAGCCCCAGAATTACCACCAGTGGTGGTCAGCCATGGAAACATCCTTTCCCTCCATGGGACTCCAGTCCTGTTGGGAAATCCCCAGGCTCCCCCTCCAGTGTCACAGTGCATAAGTCCTTTACCTTCTCAACTCCCAGTGGCCTTTGACATCAGTGCCTTCATTGAATGATAGGAGGCATGTCCTGGAGGCAGGCTCTGGGAAGCCGGGGTGAACCTGTCCCCCCTTCCTGCTTCTGAGGCACTCAGAGTAGCTGTGATGGAGGAAGCCCTGGCCTGGTGTTTGCAGGTGAAAGAAGTGTCCCCCTCAGGCTTGGGGGACCACCCAGAGGAGGTGACAATGAGCTAAGACTTGACAGAATGCTGGACAGAGTATTTAGGGGAGAGTATCCCAGTCACCCCAGGACCACAGTAATCTGCCACCTCGGAGGCACTATAGGCCATATGACCCCACCCACGCGACAGGAATGTGGAGGAGGGGTGACAAGTGGGGGTGAGTCTGGGAGGGGGCAGATCTCACTGATATTGCCAGATAAAACATCAGCTTCAGGGTTTGTTCCAAGTAGTGTCAGGGTCGGGGATAAAGTCCGGAAAAGCCCACTTCTCCTAAGTGGAGAATGGATGTGAACAGGGCAGACCAGAGGTAGGTGGGCAGCAAGGGAGCTGCTGGAGTGGTCCAGGGAGGACAGGCGTGGCTGGCTCAGGGTGCTGGTGAATATCAGCTGAGTCACTTCTGTTGATGAATCTCCCACAGGGAGGACCAGGAAGGGTGGCAGCAAAGACGGCCCCTGATTCTCTGCTTTGGATCAATGGGTGGACCCTAGTAAGTGTCCAGAGGAAAAGTGTGGGAGAGGAAGTTTGGGGGAAGATAAGGAATCTCTCACTTCTGGTCATGGCCCAGTACCTGGGACTGGATTGGACTGGATTTGGCCCTGTGCCATAAACAATCATGTAAATGATGACAGAAGCTATAGGGCCAGTGCTGCCTCAGACAGGGCAAGACTGCAGCCCTCAAGAGAAGGCAAACATGAGATGAGCCCAATGGCCTCCCTGGATCTGGGCTTGGGCACAGTTTCCCTGCTGCAGTCCAGTAAGCTGGGATCCAGTAGAACACAGTGGTCCCACAGAACTGAAGGGCAGCAACCAGAGCATGGGGTCACTAATGCACCTAGAATCTTCAAGGCAGGCCCTAGAGAAGAGAAGCTGCCATGGAGGAGACTCAGAAGGTCCATGTGGGAGTCACTTACCAGAGAGCACCCAGCATGATGCCAAGAGGTGACCACACTGGGGATCCCAAGCAGCCCTAGGGGCCTGTGAGCTCTTGCAAACCAGAGTCAAGAGACCTCATAGGCATCTGGCTGCAGCCCCATAATGGGTTATCTTTTAATAAAGATCACACCTTACAGTAAAAGTGACTATTGGCCTTCCCTAACAAAGCCTAAAGCCAAAGTGCAACAAGATTTGGGGTTTGGAGCTTCATTCTCACCAAGTTAGAGAAGTTGGGAGGCACGAACTTCCCACATAACTGTCATCACCAATAATGAAAGTCAAGACAAACCATCTACTAGAACAAAAGTAACCGTTTCCAGAGGATGAGATTAGAATCTAGAGCTTCTATAGCATATCATCCATGATGTCTAATACATAATCAACAATTACTAAATACACAGTGAAACAAGAAAATATGACTCATCATCAAGAGGTGAGAAGATGCATTCAACAGCAAGCCTGAGCAGCTACTATAAATATGTTTTAAAACTTAAAGAAAAATATGCTTGAAGAGTTAATGGAAAATATGGTGTTCATGAGGGAACAGATAAGGAATACAGGTAGAGGAATGCAAATTATTATAGAGAACTAAATGGAAATTCTAGAACAGAAAGGAACTGAAATGGAGAATTGCCATATGGGATAATGAGTTACCCAGGTTAAAACATACTATGCTGCTTATAGGATGCTTATCCCGTTAGAGACACTAACACACACAACTGGAGATCTGGGTCTGAAATGCAGGAGAGAACTGAGGACCTAGAGATAGAGAATTGAAAGTCATCAGCATGGAGATAAGAGTGTGCAGGCTCACTCTGGAAGGAAGAAAGGAGTGTGTGAGTTCACATCTCACTCCCAAATAAAACAAGACAAAAATAACAAAACAAAGCACTCAGCTCTTCAGGGCTTGGGTGACTGTCAACAGCACCCATAATGGTTTAGATCTGGGGTGACCAGATCTAGTGTGTTTGGAAGGTGATTGGATCTTTGGGGTGTTATGCTCACTGATGGGTCAGTCCACTGACGCGTTCACAGCTGACTTGCTATTAGGAGATGGGGTTTGGCTGGAAGAAGCGGGTCGTGGGGGTGGGATGACCTGAAGAGTGTGTCTCCCTCCCTGGCTCCTCCCTTCACGCTCTGAATCCAGACTGCCAAGACGTGAGCAGCGTGCCTCTGCCGCAGCATTTCTATCACATCATTTCTGCCTTGGAGCCAGCCAACCATGGACTCAACCTGCCACAGCGGGGAGTCAGAATTAGCCTTCCTTTAAGTTGTGGATGTTGGGTATTTTGTGAGGAAGGAGACTAGGAAAACCACCCCTCCAGTCCACCTCTCAGAGGGATGATCCCCCAAGCTGAGCCTCAGCTAACCTTGCCCCTTCCGGACTCCAGCTACTAATTACAGCTCCCAGAGGAGCAGGAAGGGGCCCTTGAGATGTTCTCTGTCAATTAGAGCTGCTTTGGGAAGTTTGCTATGAACTGGTCCCTCCCTGGATGCCAAGCAGGCAAGGTCTCCCACTCCCTCCTACTCTGGCCAAAGGTGCCCTGTGATCTTGCTGGATGTTGGCTCCAGCAAGGCACCCTATCCCCCCAGGCTCTGGAATCTGAGAAGAGGAACTGCTATTGGCAACCTCAGCAGTGGGGCCTTCTGGGACACAGGGTCCACCCCATCAGTGGACAGTCGGAGTTCTCACCCTGTCGTGTGCTATGCTAATCAAGTGAATCAGCAGAACATTCCAGGGAGGTGGGCAGCCCCGTCTTCAGGTGCGGATGCCAAGACCTCGGGGACATAAGTGACGTGGAAGGTAGCATAGGGCAGGCCAGGACCCAGGGGTACACCCTGGTCTCCAACTCCAGAGGCTGTGTGCTGGCCCTCCAGGCTCTGGCCCAGTGTGTGTCCATCTGTTTGTCATTGTGCTTCTTCCAGAGTCTCTGTGAACAGCTGCCAAGGGCTCATTGTCTTCCAGTTGCTCAGACCAAAGTCCCAGCAAT